ATATAGTTGACTAATTTGAGTAAATTAAAAAAACTAATTGAGTTAGTTATTTGTAATAAATAGGTGTTATATTTTCTAAAATATTTTCGTCAATCAAGTGTATTGGATAAAATTACCATTATTATAAGGACTATTTTGAAAAAATGAATAAATATGAGAGATAAAATGAATTGAGGCTTTATATTTAGGATCAAAATAAAATTCAAACAAACTTTTATATTAAGGACCAGAGATATTAAATATTGACCTAATTTTTTTTATTTCCATGAAAAAATGATACTCCTCCAATCCTATTTATAGAGTAAAGAAAGAAAACATTTTTTGGTCATATTTATAGAGTATTAAAATTTTTTTATATGAATGTATAATTTTACTCTTTATTTATTATTGTATTACTTTATTTATATGAAGTACAATGTATATTAAATAAAAATAAAGTTAAAAATTGTTAAATTTTAAATAAAATTTAATGAAATATAAGATTATTTTTTATTTGCACGAGACCTATTGAAAGTGACTCTTATTTATAAGATCAAAAGAGTACGTAAGAAAAATATCTGGGTCTTATGAGCACGAAGAGTAAGGTCAAAAACAGTCAAAGAGTCGCTAGTCAACCGCATCCCGCCATAACCACTCAGAGCACGTACAGTTTTGAGAGGGCAAAGTTGGTTGCGAAATAAAAGGAAAGGGAAGAGTTAACTTGTTGCAATCCCTTGCATTCCATGAGCATTTAATAATCAAATTGCGGTATTTGCATGGTTGGATTGGAACTTCCATTAGGGTTTTACTTGATTGACAGATTGTTCTGCTGGCTCCTCTGACTTTTCCACTCTCTGCAAGTTCCTCTGTTGCAACCAACGCCTTTTCCCAAATTGTTATCATCATCAATACCACCAGCCCCACGCTTCCGCTCATCTGGGTCTCCATTAAACCCTCTCTGACGATACATTTGCATTTTACAGTGGCCTATCTTTTGAAAATCAAAAATCGCAAAATCAAGGTATGCCTGACACGTATTTTGTCAAGAAAATGTTAGCTTTCTTTCTTCTGATGCGATTCTCGAGTCTGAACTGTGAAATGTGAATTAGTGCTGGATAATGTGTAGTATCCGAATGTTTTTTTTTTTTGAACGAAGTTGGTTTTTGCAAGTGTTGAAACAGAATTTTTTGTTTGTTTGTTTTGGTTTCATGATGATTCGTTGTGGATTTCAAGATGTCTTTCGAATGATGTTTTCCCATTTGATGTCGTTTAATAAAGTAATACTACTATATATTTGAGACTTTATCGCATTTTTTTAATTGCAAAAGCTATGTCAATGATAATCTTTCAGTTTTGGCATGCATTAACTGTCCATTTAGGTAGTTCAGGAATGCACATCATTACAAAGGTTTGACCATTTCATCTATAGTTTTATATCTTATCTGTCCTGAACACAGGGTTAAATAGTTTCACCCAATGCAAGTGTTGATTCTGTGATTTTTATTTTCCTTTCAACTGTTTTGACAAAAGTTGCTCAATCAATGGAGATAAACCATGTGTTTTTTAGTGCACGTACAGGCTCTTGAATCTTACTCTCTAAGATGTTGTCAGGTCATATTGAACAGAGATAATTTCTGAATAGAATCTTACCTGTAATTTCTCGGATCTCTTTCACCCTTGATCTGTGATGGTGGATGAATTTATTAATGCTGAGGAGAAATCCGAGAAAACTGGATCTGAAGATGGCAATGTGAAACCAAATCCTACATGGGGATTATTCATAACAAAAGGAAGGAGTAGGATTCTTTCACAGTACCTTAGTGGTCCAACCGTCTCCTTCCACGATTCCTGCAAATATGGCGTCAACCTTGCCATTGACACAAAGCCATGGTGGAATGCAGCACAGAAAATGGTAACTACAAGAAGCAAAAGAGTCAAAATTCCACAAGAAAATATTTCTTCTTGCTTTTTTTTAAAAAATTTTAAACAAGGTGAAATCAAGGAGCGGTTCAAAGCCTTCTCCAACTTCAAAAGTTGGAAAGCCTAATTCACCTGTTATGATCAAGGAAGTAGGCTTATCGATAATGAATGAAGAAAATGTGTGTAAGGACACCAATTCACCATCCTCCTACGAGGAAATAGAGGTTTCTGGGTATCATACTAGTAGTGGCATAGAACAAAACCAATCAGAGTCATCTTCTCTCCCAGTGCAGGAGAGCATAAATGCTCAAACAAACAGGAACATAGTGGGAGTAAAAGGTTCTTCTGGTTCAAGCAGAAGCAAACAGACAGGTGGAAAGAAGACATTAGTGCCACCTTGCAATCCCTCATCTTCAAGCATGCGTTCAGAAACTAAGGAAGGGATCACAAGTGGGAAAGAAGTTAAGGATGTTGGGTCAAACGATGCAAAAATCGAACCTGAGAAAGTTGTGGCTGATGTGCAAATTGTCGGGGGAAAGTAAAAGGAGAAACTTTGAGAAGAAGGCTTAGATGGAGGCAAGATGGAATATGGTTCGAGATCAGAATCTGAGAATGTCATTTTGAGACACCAAAACCTGGAAAGGAACTGTTATATCTCTTGATCTTCAACAGGCCACTCCCTCTAGTTCTGAATGTGACTTGAGCAATAACCTTTCAGCAACAGCTCATGGTGTTATTAATCGTTTATAAAGGAGTCAATTTTGGTATGTTAATGGCATAATCCTCGGGTTTCTGGCATTGAAATTTCCTATGTTGTTAAACATTCAATCACTGCCTTTTCCTCAGACAGCAGATAAAAATAATTAGAATACGGAACCTCACTGATGCCTTTGGTTACGAGAATTCCCGAAATGCACTAAAAATACCAAAAACTCAACATATTTCATCGTTACTGGCTTTCTCATAGTAATTTTCTTACCTTAAACAATCTCTTATGACTGGTCATATTTTGCGTGATTAATATAACTTCCCTTTCTTTGCTAACGTCTGTGTGGACATGTTGTGGGGACTCTTTCGTTACATCGGTGTATCCCACATGAACCCTGACCTCGTTATGGTAGACACCAAATTCTTAGTTTTGACATTGACGATAAAGTGATCGTTTCCTTTTTCTTTTTTTCTTTTTTAATTTTTTGGGTACGTTGACGGACTTATCTTTATTATACAGCTGTGTTGAGAACTGTTGGGAGTTTTACCGACATTATGATCATATTCTTCTCCTTCCTTTTTTTGGTGCAAACATTATGATCATATTTTACCTCGGGCCAAAAAAAAAAAAAACATTATGATCGTGTTCTACTTAGTTTAATGTAACTTTAGGACATCACGTGAATTGACGTCCCAATATCCAATCAGGCACGGCCCAAATTTTAAAATTGGGTTCATCTGTTGCCCATAACGATGGCATGTCACATAAAGTTAGAAGCTACCCCAACCCCCGGGGGCCCAGTAATGGTTAAATGCTTTTGGGGACCGGCGTGCATGCCTTAAAAAAAAAAAAAAACTTTAGTCTTGTGTCAAATATACTTATTAATCATATGCATTGGAAAATTTTTCATAAAAACCTCTTAACATGTGCAATTACATAATGATTACCTGGGAGCAAAATTAATAATATCTCTGGTCATAATTATAAGACTTTATTTGTAATCTATAAATAAAGTCTAATTAGGATAAGAGGTAATAAATATACAAGACAGTTGATTGGGATCTTATATTTTAAATTAAAAAAAATCTACTACTAGCTCTTATATGAGGTGATACCATTCCAAGTATAGAAATTTTACAGGGCCAATCTCTTATAATTTTGTGCACGCATATATAATATGATTAAAAAAATCCTAATTACAAAATTATAAGAAGTTGTATTTAACTTGGTAGTGTTTACTATTATGTCATCTGTATTCGTAGCTAAATCAGCCTAAAATAAAATTTTTTTATGCTTTATAAGATAAAACTCTCTCTCTCTCTATATATATATATATATATATATTTATTTATTTGGTATAATATAAAATCACATCTCTACTATTAATTTAAATTCAAAGGGGCACCACATATAGCTGATAGGCCAGCGAAGAATGTTTTGTGATACATCGCTATACATGAAACTAATTCGTATGAGGAAAATCTAAAATTGATGAAATGCCTCGTAATGCATTTGAGAAGTCATTCTCACACCGAAGTGGCATTCTCCAATATCCAGCCCATCACAAAGTTACAACCATACAAATAACATTCAATTTTGCTCTTAATTAGAAACCCCATCGCATTCATGTTTTTAGATCCTCCTTGTATTTTTAATTTGAATATATATATACTACTACTTTCAGTGTTTAATATAAGAGTTAGTTAGAATTAGTTTTGATCCTAATTATAAGACCTCAATTCCACTTTGTCTCTTATCTTTGTTCAAAATATCCCTATTGATTATGAGGGTTCCTACTGATAATAATTCTAATTATCTAAGTAGATGAGTGAAGATGAATAGTTTAAGGAGATCAATACACATTTATGACAGATAACAAATTAACTAATTTTTTAACGTTATCAAATTAGTTATTTTCTTTTCTTTTTATACTAAGGATAGGAGATTCTATATGTGTGTGCAAGAGCCTATGCTTAATTGAAGGCCACGTGTAGCCTCCATTGGATGATGATATGCTACTACGTATGGTCCCATTGTGTGATGGCCGCCTTCAAATGTGGTTCGCCTTGACATCCTGGATTTGTTTACGATCTCCGCCAGTCACTTTATCATTAATACAAGTGATAGAACACCGCTACAATTCTTCTACATATCCTTTTTTGTTTTTGCCAATTTGCCTGATACACACACTCTTTTGTATTTTCCTTTGTGTATGAACGGAACGGATGATATATTGATGTTTCTTATAAGATATACTTTCAAAAAACATGTGAAGATGTCAGATGTGGACATCAGTTTGAAATTTCACACTTGGACGTTTACTTGTTTGTCAGTGTGAATCAGTTATGGGATTGTGTGATAGTAGGATTGAAATATCAATATATAAAATGAAATTTAAAAAAAAAGTATATTATTCATAAAGCTAAGAACAACATAATTCAATTTAGAAATTACATCCAAGGTATGAATACTATAACTTGATTTTGCAATACTACATCATCTATTTGAAAGAAGAAAGTTTCTAGGAAGAAATCCATGACTCATCCTAAAATTCAACCCCAGTAATCAGTTTACAGATATCTAGCCCTAAATATTACAGAATTAATTACAGGTTCAAGTTACATCCCAAAATCAATCACCAAACATAAAACTGGCCTGGGCTTTTTTCCCCAAAACCCAAATGATAATTAGTGTAACCCACAGAATAGATGCCTGATGCTTATTTTTGGTCTTCACTCACTTCTCATTTCTTTCCATCTCTTTAGATGTGTACACTTGAATTTACTTTCTTTTGCCTTGATAAGAGTACTTGCTTGTTAAATGTTGAGAATTTAGATCTGTCCTCACATTCTCCACAAACTCTGAACCCCTTAAGCCTCATGAAAAGTCATATTTGAATGTTTGAACTCACAACTGGATGTTCTGGTTCTGCCACTGACCTGCTCCGGGTCTTTAGTGAAATAATTAGAGGAACAAAACTGCTTAACTAATTCAGCTGATTTACATATAGAAGCGACAGTCTAATATATCAACACGAGAGAGAATATAGCCAAGGTTACATTTTTAAACTTGCTTGCTGAGTGTATGTACAATTATTTGTTTCCCTCATCATTGACGTGTTTACCTTCTCAGAAAGCAGCATTTCTGGTTTCTTCTCAATTCCTTTGTCCATGATGTTGTTGTTGGGACAGGCTGCCCATGCTCTGGTTGTTCTGTCTCATATGTTGCCGGTAAAGCGCCGCCATGTTGCTGAGAATATCCATATTAACTGGCTGCACCATTAAATTCTTCATAAGTATATCATCACATAAACAACCAAATCCAAATTCACAAATCATTATTCAGTCACACACACACACACACACACACACACACACACACACACACAGAGGTGGGACTCACGTCTGTTATATCTTACAAGGTGAGTCCTACCTTTCCCTTGTTTTATAGAATATGTTTTGTTGGAAATCATTAAAACCATGGTTTTATGTTGGTAATCACAGAGACTTTAGTTCACTAAAATCAATTTAGAGGGTTTGTTCATTAACAAACATGCTTAGCAATTTGATTAGACAAGGTGCCCTTTAAAAACAATAAACTTGTTACACAGCAGCCTCAACTGTAAGAACTTGGAGTCAAATCATTTAAAAACACTGAAAAATAAAGAAAGGGGGGGGTGTTTATTATGTTAACATACTTGTGAAAGAAAAGTTGTAAAAGGATCAGGCAAAGAAACTGAGGCATTGGAGGGAGCTGCAGATGAGGGTTCAGGCTCCGGAAGAGGAGCATGGGCTTGAACCAATGGAGACATCATGAGGGAAGGAGTAATAGGAGGAGCTGCAACTGAGAGTTGTGGAAGAGAAGGAAGAACTGGTGGGCGTGGAGCCATGATGGCATTGGTGTTAAGCAGGCCCAACCCTGGGCCTTGGCCTGAGCTTGAGCCCAGTCCAAGGCCCATTCTGGCCAGCATAGACATCTGAAGCTGTTGTTGCATCATCATCATCATCATCTGCTGGGGCATGTTTCTCATACTCATCATCTGTATCTGTGCTTGGAGCTGCTTTAAGTACTCAATTACTCCGTCTAATATTGAAGCTTTGTCGTTCTGCAGTTTTTGACACTTCCACCGTCAAAAATGGCATCTTCTTTAAAACAAATAAAATCATCTATTTTCATTTTTCTCACCTTGCTGGCGTTGGGCACCAACCTCTGCAAAGCTTTCATTTTCTGATTAATTCTATCCCTTCGTCTCTGATTGAAAACAGAAAAGGAAAAGGGGACAATTTGCTTATGTATTATCAGTAAATTTTTTAAAAAAAACAACAAACAACTTTTCATTCTGATAATTGTTTTTCCTTTGTTAGATTTTAAAGTGATGCAGGAGCTTCATCTTAGACTACCCGCTCACTCTGGTTATGAATAGCCGCGGCTCTATTTCCTCTTGTTGAGTTGGAGCGGCCTGTTTCTTCCTTGGTGTCTCTGTCTTCTTCTAGGTCTTGGTTTTCCTGTTAGATTCAAACATATAACGTTTACTAAAGGAACTATGTCTTACAAAGTTCAAAACTTTCTGCTTCATTTTGTAGGTAACATGGTTAATGTTCATGGTAACACAGACGCATAAATAAAAAAGAAGGTGAAAAATAGAAAGCTACCCAGAAAAACAAAATCAATGTTCGGTATGCAATGTTTCATTGGCTTTGAAAGACAGACTGATTTAGAGATGCTACAGAATATGGTTTTATCTGTAAGCTAAGTTAGCATAATTCGAATGAACAGGGACATCAACCACGTAAAAAAGCTAACTTTACCGATTCACAGTGAGAAGGGGAATCGTCCTCAAGTGTTTTACTTCTCTTCAAGTGCCTGCTGACACCAGCACAACAGCCACTGCTGGGTTCACATTCTTCTAAACCATTCCCAAGATAGGCGGAATCCGACCGTAGGCGCTTCCTTGCCAGTGTCGGCTCCGATTGTGCTAGGCCCGATCTCCCAGGCGGCATTGCTGTGCTGCCGGAGGGTGCAACGGCGGAGCTTATGCTGGTTGGGGTATGATCCTGTGGCATCGTGAAATTTGACTTTTGACGTCGGCATGTAGCTTGATGAACAATGGACTCCAGGGTATCATGGGCCCTTATCCATGCGGGCTTTTGGTGGGCGGTTGGTAGGAGCCCATGCATGATTGGCAGGCCATTTTCCCAGGTTAGCTCTGCAACCTCATAATTAGACCTGAATCTCCTTCAAGTACAGTGTGAGAAAAAGGCAGCACTAGGACGGTCACAAATTAAAGTATTATATACAAACAAACACATACTATGCTCAAAACTGCAGAAACTCATAAATGCATGCATTTAAGTCAAGGCATGATTCAGAAGGAGGAGGAGATCGACCATGGCTTCTCAAACTATTAAATTAACAGCAAGTGCCATTAGCCATATAAGAAAACATATAGTTTAAAACCTACGCAATCTGATGATTAACAAGCTGAAGAAGACGAAAGGGAATAGATCAAAATCCCAGATGGGTTCTGTGAAGTGACCAAAATGAGACCTGGACATGATCTGTCGGTAAACCAGGCTGGTTATACAGCAGCAGTAGCAGAAAAACAGTATGAAAGAACAGGAACAATATTACTAAAATGACGGTATCAAAGAGGAACTAGGGTTGTTCTTGAACTGAGGAAGCTAAAAGGTAAGAAAATCTATTGTGAATCATGAAACAGAAGCAAAGGGAGGGAGGGAGGGAGAGAAAGAAGGAAGAAAGAGAGAGTGGTAGAACGTACATGGAGACAGGCGGGAGGGTATGCACGTGAGAGGAGGAATCGACTTGTCTTTGTTGAGGTGGGAGAACGGAGCTTGGAAGCAAAGGCTCAGTCATGATGATGAGGAAGACGACGAAGACGAAGACGACGACGACCCTGGTAACGGAGGAGAATAGAGGCAAGAGCTGGGAGAGCCCTTTATATTCCTTGAAATGGAGGAATCAATGGGTCCCGGGTGACTCACGTCCGGTTCGGATCTTCTGTTGATGATGTGTGTTTATAAAAGCGAATGCACAGAATGTCGTTGATGAAGGGAAAAAAAAAAAATTTTATTATGAATATCCATTTTCAACAGGGACTAAGCTATGGTATGGACAATAAAGATAGAAAGAGTTCTATCTTTTTCTAGATGCATAAGTGCATGGATGAAAAGAATGTAGCTATTAAAAATTAGTTTATTCGGTAAGAAAGAATGCAATTTATATTTTATGAGGATATGCGTGGGGAATCTTGCTATTCTAACTAGTTCTTATAAAGATGTAGTTTGGCTTAGTGGATGGAGATGTAAGTGTGGAAAAGAAAAAAAAAAAAGCAAAAATAGATTTTTTTTTTTGCCGAACAAAGGGAAAGAAAAGTAAAATAGATCTCACTTAAATTGACATGAATGGTTGGGACTTCATTACTTAAACAAGTGGTTAAGGACTTGAATCTTAACCTTTATATCTCTGGCAATTGAGTTAGAGGAGTGTTTAAATAGAAATCAAATCATAATTTTAAAAGTCCTTTTGTGGTATATAAAATAAATATGTAGAGAAGTTTATTTCGTTTTACGGAAAAGTACTTTTCAAAAGCACTTCTTCATGTTACCAAACACCTCCAAGAGATATCTGTCCTTTATCTTTAGAAACCTAGATCCACATATTTTTTCTCTCCAAAATGTTCTTGTAATGTTTCACATGCCACAATACTTGAAACATAAACTCAAATGTTTTCATATAAATATTTTTGTTATAATAAAATTGTCTCTTTTTTTTCTTTCTCTTTGTTTTTTCTCTCTCCTCTCCGTCCAAATCTTAAAAGGAAAAATTATTTTATTTACACTTTTTCTTTCCTCTATTTTTTCTCGCCCCCTTTTTCTCTAATCCAAACAAAGCTGTGGTGTTGGAAAAATGAAGGTAATTCAAATCATTAGCTTTTCATTTGAGTGGAAAGAGATTTTAGAGAGAACGTGTGGTGAGTATATCACCTTGAGAGATTAATGAATATGAGTGGGATATGCTTTGCCTCCTTCCATAAGCATAATGGCCCCCCCTTATTTAATACACCCATCCACCTACCTGTTCTTGGGCTAACCACCAATTATTGGCTTCTTCAAATTAGTCTCACTAACACATGACCCTCACAAGTTAATGTTGTGCCAACATCACAGTACATGTTCTTTTGCCCAAGTTTCATCAAGTCAACCATCTTTGTGGGCTTAATAAAACCTTATCATTCCTATTATCATTATTATTATAATAATCATCACTATTAACTATCTGGATTCATTTATGCCATTTTCCCCTTTGTGTCACTATCACTTGAATCTTTCCAATTAATCATCTTGGTGGGCACACTGCGTCAATTGGCTTCCATGAAAATGACACTCAACTTCCCTCTCTGGGGAAATTTCTAGCTTGAAAATTGAGTCTGAATGTGCGTTTAACCGTCAGATAAATACATAATGATTTTGTGGTTTTGTGATAGGGGGAGCCAAAGTTGGATCCTTTTTACAAAATTGAAAGGCAAGTTAGTTACATATATTTTTATGTAAGGAAATACAGATTCAATGAAATCACTTCGGACATGGTGTATATTTGTTATTGGATTAGAGCGTTTATTCTAGATCTGTCTCATAATCTGTCTTTCCAAATAATTCGATTCTACATGTTTCTTTATTGATTTTTAGAAATTTAATCTATGTAAAAGCTTAAGCAATCATTGGCGTTTTCAAGAACATCAAATGTAAATCTACAAAGAACATATTTTCTTGGGTGTGGACCAGTGATTGACAATTTCCCTGAACCAGAAAGACGCGTGGAGACAATTGAGCAGAAACTTGGTCCCATACAAAAACAAGGACTCTCACAGGTCACAACCCATAAAAATTTTCTTCAAAATTTGAGTACAAACATATTCACATTAATATTGTGTCACGTGCCACTCTTAATACAACCAATAATTACGGGACAATTTATTTCTACTCAGAGATACTCCAATAATAGCTTGAGGTGTTAAACAGCTAGAGAAGTCCAGGTGTACTTGCTTCTGCCAAACTTTGAGGTTCAGAGTCCTTTCACATTATTGCAGAGTCAGAGTTTCTTTAATTTTATTCAAGCACAGAAGACTAAAATATGCACGCGCACACGTACTCATCTTTCTGATGCATAATACTTCTTCCGTTTGATGTTATAAGACATGTTTTTTAATGTTTTATGTTTTATAAGATATTTTACGGAATGTTTAAGAGTAATTGATGACTTTATCCTGAAGATGTCCCAGACAAATGAAAAAGTTACTTAACCCTTATTAGTCTGGTTAATTCTCCATCAAGAGAGTCAACTGTATGAGTAAGGGTATATTTGGAGAGATTGGAATGTTTAATGGGCATTAACCAATTACGCTGGACTGCGTGAGTTAGTTAAAAATGCCTTGTAATAATAAATAGAAGGAGTGATAACTTGGTGATCTTGATTCATTGCTTTGTTTTTGTTTTTTTATCGAAGTGTTTACAACTGTCATAAAAATTTCACAGGTGTTTGTCAATTTTTTACTTTTACCTTCCACACTAGCACCATGATCTCTGTTGCGGATCCTGCAGCCAGGAATATCAGTTGGACACAGACGCAGACTCTTAACCATGCGGGTGGACTTAATAGTAGTGTGTGTAAATGATTAGGCATACTTATACATAGTAGATATCTTGCATTTAACTAGACTGAAAAGATAAATTGATTGAAAGTGCTGAAATAGAGAAATAACAACTTATCATTGTGAAAGACTTTTTGCTTCTGTGGACAAAACAAGAAGGGACGCTGCCACAGTGCAGGAGGGTCACTTTGTTCCCAACATTTACAGCACTATGGTTTGGATTTGGTACTGCACAAGGCAGGCACCACACACTTCATCATTCAAGTGGGGACCTCTTTTCCAAATTTTTCATCAGCTAAACTGGTGCTTTGTGGTCAAAAATGCCTTGTAATAATAAATAGAAGGAGTGATAACTTGGTGATCTTGATTCATTGCTTTGTTTTTGTTTTTTTATCGAAGTGTTTACAACTGTCATAAAAATTTCACAGGTGTTTGTCAATTTTTTACTTTTACCTTCCACACTAGCACCATGATCTCTGTTGCGGATCCTGCAGCCAGGAATATCAGTTGGACACAGACGCAGACTCTTAACCATGCGGGTGGACTTAATAGTAGTGTGTGTAAATGATTAGGCATACTTATACATAGTAGATATCTTGCATTTAACTAGACTGAAAAGATAAATTGATTGAAAGTGCTGAAATAGAGAAATAACAACTTATCATTGTGAAAGACTTTTTGCTTCTGTGGACAAAACAAGAAGGGACGCTGCCACAGTGCAGGAGGGTCACTTTGTTCCCAACATTTACAGCACTATGGTTTGGATTTGGTACTGCACAAGGCAGGCACCACACACTTCATCATTCAAGTGGGGACCTCTTTTCCAAATTTTCATCAGCTAAACTGGTGCTTTGTGGTCAGGAATACAGCCATTTCTTTGATTTTTTTTGTTTTATTAGTCACAATCTTCTGCAGATACACGTTTTTGGATCTGTATCAAAACCAGTCTTCTATCAGCTCTATTATTCCAACTAAAAATACCCAGCTCATATAGGTTGAGAAAAGCCATGATATATATATATATATATTTACTATCCCAGTAATCCTTTGATATTTACCATATCCTTGTACAAGTAAACATGCCTTAATGAAGGACGTTTTGTGTATGTTGCTATTACATCAGATATGATATTTCAACAACCCAGCTACAATATGAATAATATAAGAATCATAGTACAACCACTCTGATGTGTATATTGTTATTTTTAAATCACTGCAATGAAACCAAGCAGTTCTGAATCATGATTAATAATCTCCTAGACTGTTCATTTTCTACCCATTAAGAATTTGAAGCAGAAATATTTTACTGGGAGCCTGCCGGTTTTTATGATCTCGTTTGCTTTTTCTTTAACCCCAGACTCTTCCTTTCTTCTTTTGTCTTCCAACTTTGCTCTTGCTCTTTGTGCTATCCTGTTTATCATTCCCATCTTGTTCTGATAATGCAGCATTGCCATTGCTCTTTTCTGCTCCAGTTCGTTCTGCCGATTCCATGAGCAATCAGATGATTATATTCACAACTTCCGGTGGGGGGGGGGGGAGGAATGTTAAATCCAAGATTTCAAACCTTCGTCCTATCCTTTTGAAGAATGGCCTGCATCTTCTTCTCACCCTCCCATAGACGAATCTTAAACTCTATCTTCTCATATCTGAAAAGTTTTCTTTCAATCACTAAAAGAATCTATCTTAAACTTTTTGTCACAATTCATATATGAGCAATTGCATAGAAAAAGGGCCAGTCCGGGGCAACTTTTTTAATGATTTATATCGCGTTCCGTGATATATACATAACACTGCGGAAATACGACATTTTCTCGCTGGCTTAAAAATGAAGATTTGAGATGATAATTGAGTCACAGGGCAATTTGACTAATAATCTAGTTTTGTGGGATAGGTTCATCTCGTGGTTTTTTCTATGAGTTAAGTATCAAGATATTTCTATTACCGTATCAATTACATTTGTGTGGCATGGTAGAATATTAAAAAGACCAACAACCTACGAAATATCTATGTCATGGGGCACTCCACTCAAGAGGCTAACTTTTTGACAAAAATATACTTAAAAAGACCAACAACAATCATGTTTTGGCGTTACCGCTTTTGAATCTTGGCCATTTCCCAAGATTCTGCTCTGGAATTGACAGTGTTTTGTTGTGAGGGAGTGTGACTCTCCTTATGCTTTTCATATCTTGCTATGCCTGTTGGGCTTGGAGTGCTCGGAGATTGTCCAGCCCTTAAAAGTCTGACAGCAAACTGGCCTTCATGATCCTCTCTAGATGACTTTTTCTTCCAACTTTCTCCTGTAAATGTCAATTGAAACGCACTTAGAAAAGCAAAAAGAAGCATGCTTGACATTTTACCTTTTTTGTTGTTCAAATATTGTGTTATACTCCTCCGGTACCTAATATAGAATCTAATTGTTAAGTTGATTTTGGTTCTAAATATAATACCTATTTCTCATATTTATCAATTTTTTTTAAATTAGCCCTACAGATACTCCCTCAACCATAATCAAGTAGAAGAGGAGAGAGGATATTAAAAAAAGATGATTATGTGTTTTAGAAAAAATATGTCATATTTTTTATAATTAATTAACTAACCTAACTTTCTTAATCTAATCAAATTAGTTAAGTAGGTCTTATATTAAGTATCGGAGGAGTATTTTGTTATTGGGATATGATATAATTACCAAAAGTTGGCTTCGTAGATTTGCTTTCTTCTTTTCTTCTCATAGTCTGAGCACTTGAATATACATGGCCTTCTTTCGTCTTCTGCAAATTAAGCAACTCTGCCTGTTCCAGCGAGTAAATGGCTAACGCTGCAGCTGCAACTGCAGTTCCATGCTTCTCATCTCTATTCACAGCCACATCCTCAACAGTTGGCCTAACAAGCCCTTCTTTTTGTGATGGTGGATCAGAAAATGACACCCTACCGCAAAAAGAGGCAAGATAATATTTCATTAAGAACAAAAAATATGCATTTTTTCAAGTAGGACCAACACACAAAATCCCAAACAGTTTCGGATGGATGATATATACCTTCTTTGCTTGAGCCTATTGTCCTCCATCCTGAAAGTGAAGCCTCTTTGATCAAGAATTTGAAACTGGAAAATGGGCTTTTCTATTATGCTGATAAAAGATTCAGCTTTTATGAACAGAAGATGAATAGGAGCGAAGCAAACATTCTTCAGAAGCAGCCTCTAGAGGAAGCAAAGAATCACACACGCACACCCACGTGCAAATAAACCCCAGTCATCAACTTGCTAGCATTTTAATCTTCAAGGCAGCTTTCTGACATTCTTCCAATGAAGACAATCTTTGGCCAAGAACATCGTCTTTTTAGTACCTTGGCCTATGTTTTGCAGCTATTCCTTGTTTGCTCACCATGGAAAGGGTATAACTGGTTGAGACTTGAGAAAAACACAAGCAATGATTTATCGCAGTTTAAACAATCTAAGACGCATCCCAACTCAGAAATTAGGTCGAACAAGTACTAAATGCAAATGACACTTAAATAATCAATTTAATAACTGTTAAATCCCTAAAATAATTTGTTGAAAGATAAGTTGCTAATGAACGGTGTGTTATAGCTCGGTCCCATTAATTTGCAATTCAAATCAATATACCACCTCCAGAGACAATGGGTTTTTTCCTTCCCTGATTAGAAGACTTTAATTTATTTTGCCTCTTAAATTTATGATTTTTTTAAAGCAATCCAATGGATTGTATATGGTAAGGAGTTTTTATTAAGGGTGATTATAATATACATAAATGGATATCTTAAAGAAATTAATACATATTTGTTATAAATAATTAACTTAACTAATTTTTTTTAATATTAACAAATTAATTATTTAGTTTTTATATTAAAAATCAAGAGAAGTATTTTTAACTTTAGCAAAATTTGGAGGACTACATGTTATTTTCTCAAAATTAAGATACTTAAAGTCAGACTAGTACATAAGCTAAGAAAGTAGTTTATTATTCAAAAACTTGAATCTCTTTTGCTAGGATATCTTATGCAATGGGCGTAAGAAGCTTTTTGGTGCTATCGATTTTGAGAGTGCTACTAATAATAGAAATAGTTTTTTTAGGGTTTTTATAGACACGAATGTGATGAGTTAAGAGTTTTTTGCTGTAAAAGACGATAACAAAACATTGTCTCCAAAATAACCAAATGTATCTCGAGGTTGATAGTTTTGTCCTTATTAATAGTAACAATAGTTACAGTAGGGTTCTTCGGGATAAAAGAAGTAATTGGATCACCAGCTTTAGTTGTAAAATTATGACAATTATACTAGCTATTGCGAAAATCTTTACTATATTGTTCAGGCTTAGTATTTGTAGGGACAGAGGATATAGGAAAATTTTTGTGCATGCTAATTGTATGTAGGCTATAAATCTTGTTACAAGAGGATGGGACTCAGACCATCCTTCCAGGAACATTATAGATGATGATGCTAGATTTATTGTGAACAGGGAGTGGCAGATTTACATAAGGCAAACAGATAGAAAGAATGTTGTTTTAGCTCACTATCTTGCTAAGTCCTCCCATAACAAGAAAGCAAGCTTTTATATATTGTGCAGGAGGTGGAACTTGATGAAGAAGGTCAGACCTAGGTGCTGAGCTGTTTTGTTGTCTTTGTTTTTTTTGATGAATTACTGTATTTACTGAAAAAAAAAACTTGAAGGTTTCATGGCACGGGTTTCGCACGTGCATAAGAAGGAAACCTCGCGTGACGTTTACCAGTCTCGAGTCATTCGGCGCCCAAAAAACTTGAAACTCGCGAGGCAAACCAGAGTTTTGACACTGTACCCTGTGCGGTCTTTCCCTCGGGATGCCATGGTACTCACAGAAGAACAGAGAAAACAAGCTGAAGCGAACCGGTTAGCGGCCATTGAAAGACGAAAGGCAGTGTTAGAAGCTCGGGGAGAGAAAGACCCTTGGCAGCTCTTCAAGTGCCGTAAGATTTCTTCCGAATCCATTGCCAAGCCCCCGCCCATCGGTCAGCTCCCCCGGCAACCCCATTCGGTCCCCGTCGAGCCTGTTTCTGCCGGTCCTTTACCCCGTAAATTTTTGGTTAGGCTCGAAATATGCTCTCCCGACTCTTTCTCTGCAACTCCTCTTCCCCTTCGGAGTTCCCCCTATCCCGGAGAAGAATGGTGCTTACAGAGACTAAGTGATCATTTGTCCCATGTAAGTCATTCTGAAACCACGCGTGGTTCCGGAGGAAATTCTACATAATAACCGAAATGGTTTGATAATTTTGAATTCATGATAAAGATTTTTTCTTTCTGGGCGGATGTGCGAGTGTGCTTTAGAGCCTTGATGTTGGGTTGCTTCAAATACTAGAAAATGCTTGAATTTTTTTTCAATCTTTAATGCTTTAGTGATTCTAAATTTTTGATAGACACTTTATTTTTCTTCTGAATACGTGAGTGCTGGAGTCCGCGATATTTGTTATCAGGCTTACTTTGAGGAAATTAGTTGACTGGGATATTTTGAGCTGTTATTGCTTATATTATTTTATTTTTTGTTTTCTCCTCTGATAGGTCATGCCTTCACACTACACCCAGAATCATGATGGCAGAAACTCCTGTGTGTATAACTTGAGGGATTACCATGCTGTCCTTAAATATCTGAAGATTGTCAAGGACATAGAAGTTGAAGAAATTCCGCGGGGAACTTTGAAAGTCGTTGAAGCATTTTCACATTTCTCCGGTACGGATCGCTGGATACCCTGCAGGCCCGAGCATTTGTCTGATGACAAGGTTGACGAGTTAATTGGGAAGCTACCAACGGGTCTGTTGGATGCACTGTTGCCTTTCCAAAGGGATGGTTTAAGATTTGGATTGAGAAGGGGTGGCCGCTGTCTTATTGCAGATGAGATGGGCCTTGGGAAAACACTCCAGGTAAGATAGGCTTCTAAGCTATAACTTCAGGTAAATAAAATGGCGTCTTGCTATATTTCAAACACTTTTTTATCCCTGTTGATGCAGTTCATAAGAGTTGGCATTTGTTATGTTGCTCAAGAAAGTCAGTAATTTCTCATTTGCTTGGAATATCATCTGTTGATACTTCAACAAACAGATGGAGCTTATTGGCATTCACATATTAATTGTAATTTCATTCTCTGAAATAGGTAGAATTTAAGAAGCTTCATCTTCGTCCAATAAAATGGTGGAATCACCTGAAGTTGTTATCTTTTTGTTTTTCCCCAGGCTATTGCTATTGCAGGATGTTTCTTGAATGAAGGTTCTATACTTGTTGTTTGTCCAGCTGTTTTGCGTTTTACATGGGCAGAAGAACTAGAGCGGTGGCTTCCCTTTTGTACGCCTGCTGATATCCATCTAGGTAGTGCTTTATGTTTTTGCTTAAATTTTATGTAAATTGGAGGACTCTGTGTTATTAGTGCCTTTTGCTAACCTAGATGTACCTAGATATCCTATTTTATTGAGATAATGCATAATATTAAAAGATAAATGGGAAAACAAATTATGGAGAAAATCAAGTAGATATTGTTTCATTGCGTAGTGGTAGGTACTAGGTGTATGCATTTAATCTATTCTAGCAGTTGATAGGTTACTTTTCCTTCTTTATATATATAGCCATGTACTTTTTCAAATCATTCAAGGGAAAGTAAATACAAAAAAATAGTGATCTTTCTTCACTTTCTCAGCTCTATGAGCTCATCTTCTGTTGGGTTTAATCATATTGGCTGTGGCCTTGGACTTATCTTGTATGCTGTATTGGAGTTGTGCTGCACATGATACCGGATATAGCTTGGCATGCCATTGATTAGGGAAAAAATGCGGAAAGTATCTTTCTTGTGTTACTTTTCATCTTATACAATATTTTAGATTGAATTTAATCAACAGTCCAAATGGTAGTTGCACTTTTCTTACTGTGGCATGATTACCTATCTTGTATGCTGTATTGGAGTTGTGCTGCACATGATACTGGCTATAGCTTGGCGTGCCATTGATCAAGAAAAAATGCGGAAAGTATCTTTCTTATGTTACTTTTCATCTAGTACAATATTTTAGATAGAATTTAGTCAACAGTCCACATGGTAGTTGCACTGTTCTTACTGTGGCATGATTACTTATCCCTTTAGTTCCTTCATTTTAGCATCTACCTGTTTCCTTTGATGCAGTCTTTGGTCATCGGGATAATCCTGCTTATTTAACTAGATGCCCTAGAATTGTGGTTATTTCTTATACTATGCTCCATCGTTTGAGGAAGAGCATGCTTGGGCGAGAATGGGCTCTCTTGATTGTTGATGAATCTCATCATGTGCGATGCACAAGGAAGACCTCAGAACCAGGGGAGGTATGCACAGCTTCCATTTCTTTTTCTTGTTTGGAAATTGAAAAATTGAAACTTGTCGTACATGTGGATGCAGGTTCTTATACATGAAAATTGATCCCTTTGGAGCATTCCTTTCACTATTTTAGCCAATCTTATACATCTAGATTCTAGACCTTGGGGTTCAGTGGGAAGTATTAATGGAGCTGGTTTTCAGCACTATATGCTGATAGTGCCAAAAAAAAAAGTCTTTGCAGAGAACTGATGTTTGATGTTTTTGTTGTTTCTATGAACCTCTTTTTCTCCTTTTCTTTTCTGTTTGTGTGTAAGTGGATGGCCGGAAAACTGCTTCTATTGTGAAACAAATGATTTGAATTGTGTTTTGAATTTCTTCTGTTTTGGCAGATAAAGGCTGTTCTTGATGTAGCTTCAAAAGTCAATCGCATAATACTGCTGTCTGGGACACCCTCTTTGTCAAGGTTGTAGCATAGGTCGCAGCAAGCTGGCTGCATCAAGTTTGCTGCAAATATTTTTTCTTGGAATGACTAATGTCATGCTATGATTTAAATTGTGGTGCATTACACACTCACACACATACATTCTATGGTATAACTTGGTTTTTCTCTTTTTCTTTTTATAACTTCAACTTCTTATAGTTTTCTTATATCCTATGGTGCATTTCTTCCTAGGTGCTCGTAGGCCATATGACATATTTCATCAGATAAACATGTTATGGCAAGTATATTCTCATTGAAGATTTTTCAGATTTGAAATTTACTTTCCTTGATGCTTGTTTCTTCAATTTTCTTGATAACACTTCTGTCTTACAGGCCTGGACTGCTGGGCAAGGATAAATATGCATTTGCTAAAACTTATTGTGATTGTAAATATATCAAGGGAACCCATGGCAAAATTTATGCGGTAATCCTGTTAGAAGAGCTCTTCATAACCTTTGTTTATGTGTGCTTGCTTATCAAGTATGTGTGTTTATGTTTGAATAACGTGAACAACATTTTGTATTTATTTTGTGTTCTTGATCAATAGAAAACATGCCTACTGCATGGTCTATTGAGAAGATAATGCTTCTTATTATCTGGTTCTGTCTGCTGATAGAAATATTTGTAATATCTGCTTTTGCAAAGAAATAAGAAATGGCATTGCTAGATTCTCTGAACTGCAGCTCCATATTTATTTTTTCTTAATGGCATTGCTAGATTCTCTGAACTGCAGCTCCATATTTATTTTTTCTTCTCTTTCCACCTTTAAAATGTGTAATTTGGTCACATCCTTTTTCGCATCTCTGGTCACATGATGTGAAAAGTCTCCTGAATCTGAACTGATGGCATTTAGTTGTTTATTTATTCTATTTTAAATTGTGTTCATTAGTGAAAGTTAACAAAAAAGGGGTTTTTGTGGCAGGATTTTTCAAAGGGCATTCGCTTGGAAGAGTTGAATGTGTTACTCAAGCAAACTGTTATGGTGGGTTCTTGATGCTTATGGCTTTAATTTTCATATCACTTGCACTATTGTGATCGTCGTCATCATCATCACCATAAATGGTTAGTCACCTAACCATGCATTCTGTAACAATTTATCGGAGCTTATGTAGCCAAATCAGATTCTTTAATGGGTTTGATTTGGTTGTACTTACCCCTCCTATTTTCTTTATATTGGCTTTGGTGATATATCATACAAGCTTCTTGCTATATTATTACCATATTGCTACCTGATATGAAAACAAAATTCAGGTACTCCTGGGAGGGTAATTCTGGTGCATCTCTCTGAATTTTACCCTCCAGTTGGTTACTGACTATAGTTACCTACCCGTGCTATGAGTGTTGAAGATATAGCTTCTTGATTGGTTAGAAACTTGTCTTACTTGTTGTCCATGTAGATAAGGCGCCTGAAGGAGCATGTGTTGCTACAATTGCCACCAAAACGGCGGCAAATTATAAGGCTGTTGTTGAAGAGATCAGATTTAGTTGCTGCAAAAACAGCAGTTGGAAAGTTGACTGGCAATACTTCCAAAAGTGACACTGTAGACATGACTTTGGACAGTTCTGATGAACATGATGGGATGTTGACGAGATCAAATGTAGTTGCCTCAGAAACTGCAGTTGGGCTGTCAAATATTGATGCTTCTGAAAGTGTTGATGAAGACGTAACTTTGGAAACTTTGGATGAATCTGAAGGTATTGTCCAGGGATTTTAATTACTTTATCGTCTAATTCCCATGTTTGTGTTTTAAAATAGCTCTTTGTTCAGTCATGTGTTAGATATTGCAGCTAATGATGGTGTTTCATTGTAAAATCCAGACATGGCAGAGCTTAAGCAAATTCTTCGTACAGTCAACTACTTCATAAAATGTAGCATTAATCTCATAAATTAAATGGATTAATAATAGGATCATCCTAGTAATACCAAGTGCATTTTGTCCAAGATCACTATAAAGTTCAATAATACAAAAAAAAAAAAAAAAATCAAAAGTTAAAGCGTTTGATGTTTGTTGGCGTTACTGATTTGCAATTGTTATAGGGGATGGAAAAGAAAATTACACCTTATTTTCTTGATAGCTTTTAATGAAGAAAACCTTGTGGTTCCAGTATAGCTTATGGAAGGATTACAATCAATAAACTCTTTTCTATTTGCTCCAAAAGAAAATGGAATATTTAGTTTATTCAGAAAATGAATTTTACATCATTAAATGTTGAACTTTCTTACTCTTTCTTGACACAATCCCTTTGATTCAATTTGTGCCATGACAATAGTAAAAATTGATGCTGAATAACTATTGAATGGATTAGAATTTGATTCATGCAGGACCATTTTCATTAAAGTATGTTTGTATTTCTTTTATATCTATTATCAGGGAAGCTTTCCTACCAGGAACTTGGAATTGCCAAGCTTTCTGGATTTCGTGAATGGCTTTCACTCCATTCTGTTGTTGCCGAGACAGAAAGTGCTTCGAAAATGATAATTTTTGCTCATCACCATAAAGTTCTTGATGGGTTGCAGGTAGTTTTTTCTTTAGTTCGGAGTTACAGTTTTCTTTATATTCCCTTATTCACTGCATTTACTATCAGAGTTATTTGCCTTTGGGTTTCCTCTCTTTATGCTAGGTTCACCACCATTATACAATCATACTTTATTTTCTCTTTGGCCTCTGGGGCTTTGGTGACTTTGATGTCCGGCTAACATTTTGACCTACTGGGTGACACAGTGTTTGTCTTTTTAAATTACTCAGGAGTTTGTGTGTGAGAAAGGGATTAGTTTTGTCCGAATTGATGGAAGCACACTTGCCAGGGATAGGCAGTCAGCGGTGGTGTCATTTCGTTCAAAACCAGAGGTATCATGGATTCATAACTTCGTTGCGGCATTTTCCTTGGAATTAATTGTGATACTTTTCTGTTTTCTTCTCCCTTTTCTCCTTCAGTTTGTTTAAATTATTGATCAATTTAGCCTTCTATTTGCTTCTATGGCACGTAAAAGGGGGTATATTTTGATGAATAGCAGACACCTTTCCCTTTTTTTTTTTTTTTGGTTTTGTTTTGTTTTGTTTTATAAGCTTATAATCTCGTCTCTGCTCCATTATTGTCCTGTTGGCACTAATGATTGAATTGTTATAGTGAATTTTTCCTGGTTGTGAGCATGCACAAGTACTTAGTTGGTCAACAAACTTACTTGGCCGTTTAAGGTCAATCTTGTACTCTTCTTATGGAAAGATCAATTTGCATGTGTTCAGTAAGACTCCTGTAAATTTTAAAGAAAAACGATATTGTAGTTATCACTTCTTTGTTACTATCAAACTAGCTGCCTTTCTATTCACTACTTTTGTATGGACCTACATACAGCACGCCATGTCTAATATATTTTCTAATTGTTATACTCAACATGGCTGCATCTGTTTCAATTAGTCTTGCTCTGATTCATAGATTATGATTTTCTGTCAGGTTAAAATTGCAATAATAGGTATTTTAGCAGCAGGATTTGGACTTGATTTCTCAACAGCACAAGATGTTGTGTTCTTGGAACTTCCTCAGTGCCCGACCTTGATGCTTCAGGTTCTGTTTGATAGATATCATTCTAACTTTTGGATTTTACAGTGGTTAACACGCCATTTGCTTGTGTTTCTATCATCTGAACCATTGATGTTGGGAAAGATAGTCTGTTTAGGAAGCCTCCACACATGAAATACAAAGTTGTCGCAGATGCCGCAGAAGATTGCATTTTCTGAAATGCAGAAAACCAATTGGCATTTCTGTTAAAAAGAAATGGTGATTATTATGTCATAAGAAAAATGTAGTCCTATGGATGCATGATTGATGACAATCGAGCTTTTTTCTTCAATGAGGCTAACATTATGCATTGAATCGCAAGATATGATGCTGGTTCTTTTAATGATAATCACGCTGGGGACAGTGGATGCCTCAGGTGACTGCATTTGAAAGGAAAAAAAGGGGACATGGGTGATTTCACATGATACTATTTTGTGGTTCAAGTGGGGTACACTAGACCAACAAAGCTTTAATGATATTGCTGTCTTCTTTCATTGAACTTATATGATAACCTATGTTAAGTCTTGTGCATGAGGTATTATTGATGACGAGTACCTTTGCACTTCTCGAGCTCTGTTGGTTTCATATATTTTTCGGAATGGGTATTTTGTTGTACTGCAATACTTAATTATGTGAATCTCCTTTGAAGGCTGAGGATAGAGCTCATCGACGAGGGCAAACAAATGCAGTCAATGTATATATCTTTTGTGCAAAGGTGCTTACAATTTTGTTGTTCATTCCAACTATTTATGATTAGGACTTCTTTTGAACTCCTCCCAAGCAGGAATTACTGGTTCAGTCCTTGTGCAGGATACTTGGGATGAGTCACATTGGAAAAATCTGAACAAAAGTTTGTACCGTATTTCATCTACAACAGATGGTAAATATGATGGGATGAAAGAGATACAGGTATCATTATTGTGTCGCTATAAGTTTTCATATGTTGAAAAGAAGAAATTTCCACCTGCTTTCTTTCTAGGGAGAACGACAGTTAAGGACCGTTTAAGGAGATTATTGTGAACTAAGGACTTCGAGTTGTAAATGTAGAAATTTGAGTTGTGAATTTTGAAGTATTAGTTGCACACAGGTCCTCATTTTACATTAATTCTCTTACGGGGTCTTTAATTATCTTTTTCCCATCTTTTTACTGATAGGGTAGTTCAAACCACGTGATGTTTTGCAAATTATAGACTCAGAGAAGAAATTATTGGGCTGGTAATCTTTTATATTGAGTGCATTTCCTTCCAACTTAGGAGACAAATAAATTGAAAGGCTAGCTTTACAAGTGATTGTTGGTAAAAGTTCACGTTGTCATAATTTCATATTTACTTTTAATTTATTGTTTCTGATTGTGGCAGTAAGTCCAAATAAGTGATTTGCCCCCATCAGTCATCTCGTTACCTTTTGCCTTTTTTGGATCTTTTGTGATTTTAATCTGGATTCGATATTTGTCTTTCATCGTTCGTGTGAACTTTTGATGGGCTAATATGAAACAGAAAATGTCAGAATTTTGCTGTGCTTAGAAGTTGATTTATTTCTCATTCTCTTCTATAACATTCAACTTCCTGTTGTGGGGGAGTGGGGATATTGGATGGCAGGTTGAAGGTGTTTCTTACCTGGACACATTCTTCAAAACCAATAGAATCCATGAAGAGCAAGCTGCACCTGGTGAAGCTTCTGAACAGGCGACCAACCTGCTGGATATTTCCCTGGTTTCAAATTTGCTACCTTCCCAAGCAGATTCTAAGGAATCAGAGGCAAAATTGGGTGATCAAGCTGATCAGCAGACTTGCTTTGTAAATAATACTCTTGTTAAGACTTGAAGTTTAGATTCTCTGACCTTATAATCATATTTAATTTTTCTCTATTTAAACACACTCTTTTATATTTTTGGAATAGGCTGACAAGGTTTCCTTCCCAGAATCAGGCGAGGCTTCTACTTTGGATGTAGATTTAGTTGTAGGTGTTTTTGACACCAACAAAAAATGCTCTGGTTTTGACATGAGTAAGCTGGATGAAACTTATGGAAGCAAAGGTCAGATGATAGAATTTATTCCAAAGAACAGTGGTGAAGATGATAATCAAGTGGAGGAGGTGCATTTGCTTTACAGTATTTAACTTGGAAAGAACAACTGCACTTTTCATGCATGTAAATTTGACAGCCCCATGGTGTTGTTTCTTGTGTTTCGGATCCAGAATAAAAGAACATCAACAATAAAAGCAGATGACTCCCAACCTGTCCATCCAATTGAAGCTGAAGAAAGTTCCTCTCCTCACATGGAATCTCTACGATTTGAGGCAAGCTTATTTGTAACATGTTTTTTTTGCCCTTTTTCATATTAGATGGAGTTGGTTGAGTGTACTGTCTGCTCTGTTGTACAACTGCTTCTGGTTTTTCTGAACGCATGGTTATAGGGCTAGTTTGGTGAGTGTTGTCTTACGGTATATTATATCTGAATTTGATCCCAAAAATGTCTTAAGAGTGTGCAGTGATGTTTTTTCTGAACGTATGGTTATAGGGCTAGTTTGGTGAGTGTTGTCTTACGGTATATTATATCTGAATTTGATCCCAAAAATGTCTTAAGAGTGTACAGTGATGTTCTTTATATGGATGAGAATGGAGTGTTGCCTCTGTGACGTGAAGTATTTTTCATTAGTAACAGCTGATCAACTTATAAATATGAGACTAAATTTTACTTGTTCCTTCAGGTCAGCCCATACACTGGAAGGATCCACTTGTATACTTGCGTTTTGGGTGCAGATACAAGACCAAAACCGCTTTGTAAAAATTTCCGACCAGAGGAACTTGAGTTGCTCAGTTCGCTTTCTGACGGTGATAAAAAGAAAAAAGAGATATCTATGGGAGATAGTCTTGCTTTTACAACTGCTCTTTTGGGATTTTTAAATGAATGGAAGAAATTAAGGCCAATTGAGCGAAAAAAGTTACTGGGAAAGCCATTACAACTTCCCTTGGCTGTTGAATTGTGCTACTTAAGTGAAACTAGTAGCCACAACAATAAGGTGTGCATAACTTGAACAGTCTTATGGATACCATTTTTTCTTTCACCTCAATCTGTCTATCCCCTGTATATTTTGTTTTGGGTCATATATAACTCTATGAATATTTTTCCCGACAGGGATTACTAAATGGTGGAAGCAAGCGGCGCATGACTCCTTTAATGGAGATAAGCCATCCTTTACCATCAGATGCTGTTTGGAGAAAGGTCTGCCTGCGGCGTGGCAATGGCAAGAAGGAGAAAGAATACACTCAAGGTTGGACTCAGACAGATGAGCCACTCTGTAAACTTTGTCAAAAGACATGCATGTAAGTCCTAGGGTAAGTGATATGTTGTTATTATTTGTTTGAGTCTTCAATCATTTCCTCTGCTTTCAGGGGTAACAATGCCATGTCACCTGAATATTTTGAAGATCTCTTCTGTAACCTAGTCTGCTATGAAGAGTATCGCATGAGAACAAGCAACAAATTCCTTCGTCAGGCAAGAACTTGTTCGTGTTTGAAGTAGAATATGTACCAAAGTTTCCTTTGTTATGGGGATGTTCTTTATTTGATTCAGTGTAAGATTCGAAGCTCTTGTTAACCAGCTTGAGATGAAATCTGCAGGAACTTTTTGAAGTTGAACGTGGGGTGTGCTCAAATTGCCATTTAGACTGTCATAAACTAGTTGAACATATTAGACCTTTACCGCTAGCAAGGCGAAGAGAGTACATTGAGAAAGTGGCACCAAATGTGGCTAAGCGAAAGAACATGTAAGTCTTTAAAAGTGAATGCCAGTCTCCTATGATGTTAAAGGGCACATTATAGGCTTGTTAAATGAGCTGTTGAAGGGAAGGCTGTTGACAATTTTGCGTATCAATTTAACATTTGTCTTCTGAGAACACCAATTGCCCATCTGCAGGCTTGAGAAGCTTGTCAATGATCCAACTGAAGGCAATGCGTGGCATGCTGATCATATTGTCCCAGTATATCAAGGCGGAGGTATGATTTAGTGCAGTGTGATGTGGTAGTAAAGCCATCCCACCAAAAAAAAGGGGGGGGGTTTTGGGAACCAAAAACATGATTTGAATTTGGATGGTTAAAAAGTAATAGAGTAGAATCCATGCTTACCCGCCTCTCAAACCTCTTAAAAGGGGATTTTGGATGGTTTAAGTTCCATTTGTCTTTTTCACCCTTTCTACCATTAAAGGGAAATATACAAGGGCAATAAAGATATTTTCACTCTTCAAACCTGTGATATAATATGGTTGACTTTAAAATTTCACCCTTTTGGTTTGAATTTATAGTGGGCAATATTACCATCCCATTTTTTGCCTAACTTTCAATCATCAGAGTGGGGGGATACTCCCTTCCCACTCTACCTTATCCCACCTGGTCTGAACTTCCAAACGAGTCCTTATGCTCTTGGCTTACAGTCACTCGATCTCATAATAACCGTTTGAAAGTTATTGACATTGTAGTCTACCAATCAAGCATAATCAATAAAAAAATTTAAGCTTCCAAGTGTTCTTTTGTGGCATTAGATTATTCAAAATAATGTGCTTGAAAAGGAGAATAACCAAGCTCAAACATTGCGCCCTCATTATTTTCGACATGTGCATACTTCTTGTGGTTGGCACTAGTGTCATGAAGCCGTCTTTGAAGGGTTTTTGGTTTATAGAAGCCAGGTTTGTTTGGTAGGTTGGTCAACAAGCTTCTCTTGTAAATATTTTGTAAAATTTTCAACCATGATGACTCTCTTCCTCTTTAGTCGTGCATTTTATGAATTGAGTGAGGAGCTTGAAGTGTATGTATGTACGTACGTATGTATATAATTTTCTTTGCATGTAGGTGAATGTCGACTGGAGAATATGAGGACCCTTTGCGTGGCCTGCCATTATGATGTTACAACAGCACAGTGTACCGAACGACGCAAAGAGAGAGCCAAGGCCAAGAAACAGCTAAAATTGGTGATGGGTGAGTTAAAAGCAGGTCAAACGAAGGTCGCCACAGGTTCTGATATTAAGGTATGTTGGTCAGGCGTTGGTTTCATGTGTGCAAGTACAAAGTTGTATTCGAGGCTGAGCATCACGAGATGCATTTCGAATGCTGGGCTGAACTTAGCCTTTTGACATTTACATCTTGATGAAGGTGCTTTAGTTTATAAATTGGAGATGAAGTATTGAAATGTTCCATTGCAGAATATTATCAATTTTAACATATTTTCAGCTCTCAGCATGTCAAAAGTTTAACATATTTTAATCTCTTGGTGAGCATTCAAACACCTACGCCAATGTTTCACTGTCAATAACTGTGATGAATTTCGTGGCATCATCATGTCTAAATAGTGAGTCTAGTGTGCATGTCCATGTCAAACGCACCAGATATGAACTTCTAAAATTCTGCTTTTGATCTTCCCACTTGGCTGGGGTTATTGCATTCGTAGAATAACAACCTGAAATACTTTGAATTTGAGACCATGACGCTGGCGCAAGCATGCTCTTTTCATTTGAGCCAAAAACTCTGATGACCCATGCAAGTATTTTATTTTCATTATTTATTATTTAGACAATCCTTCGGTTGTTTGAGCAGCAAAGTGGCTGATTACCGTCTGATTTTAATTTTCAACACATTTTTCAATTAACTTCAGGAACAGGGTCTTCTTGAGGTACAAGAGGATAGAAGTGAGGATGAGCTCATTGTCAAGGTGCCTGGAAGTGCTTATTCAATAGCTAATGGCTAAGAAAGTGGAGGAGAAACATGGAAGGCCTCTTCTATGACAAGTACTTAGTTGAAACAGTTTTTATGTTTGTATCTGCCCATTCTATTATTTTGGTAACTGTCAATGTCGTTGAGGAAATTCTTTAAAACAGCTCCTTGGGATGTTTTTTCTTGAAGCATGAGGAACCACAAGATTGAGGTGGTCTGATTGATGTACGAGCGAGCTGTGTTCAGCAGGAGCAGCGTTGGGGTACAACTGTACAAGTCAGTTAAGTGATCAACGTAGGTTGACCCAATTATTCCGCAGGTTTTAAGATTTGAGCCCATTGATTGCACCATCTCTTGCTTACTGTTTGTGGGGCAACTTTTGGCATCAATGATTGGAGGAGTTTGATACGGTTACTTTGTTGTTGACTTCTGACTCTCGGTCTGGTGTGATGGAGGATACGTTACTTGTTTTTGGTATTGTATGCGTTATCGGATATAAATTGTCTATATTTTCGGTAACAAATTGTAAAATAGAAAGTTATTTATTTCTATATTCTAATTACTGAAACAATTTTTGTGCAATGCACAGAACAAAATATATAATTATTTAAACTTTTATTGTTATAGTTATTCATTTTTAATTATTAATACAATGTTATTTCATACCTTCTAGGAACTTTTATAAATTAGTAAATTAATATTTACTCAATATTTGTCATTTATTAGTTTTTACGGTCTATTTTCGAGTGGAATGAAAGAGGATACGAGAGATTTGATTTGGGTTGGAAAAAAATAGAAAAATGATGTTGAAAGGTTTTAATTGGTTTACATTGCCCTTTTATCTCTTTTTTTTTTTTTAATTGAAAATTTTATGATTCCACCTGTTCCTTTTTTTTACTGAATTTTTCCTCCTTTCTCCTCCCTCCATTCCTCCCCCAGTTATCTTATATGAAAATACTACACCTTTTTGGTGATAATTGACAAGTTCAATTTTGATATCGTCTTTTAGCATATATTCATTCCGACCATATCAGTGATTATCAGTGATGATCACTGATTTGCCATGCCATTCATCATCCCCGTGTTGTCTTGCCTGACAGCGGCTTCAACGTAACCTTAGTAATTGTTTCCGAACACGCACATGCCATCAGAATCTCTGGCGCCATCTGAACCAAAAAAGCTAATCAACTAACCATTCTTTTAATAAAAAATACATGTTCCTCTTAAAATTATAACCAGAATCGACCTCACGACTTTTTGCTTGTAAGAAAATTCTAATGTCATCAAGCTATAAAGCCATTTGTGGCTAAGCAATTGTTGTATCAACATGAATAGCATATTCATGATTTTAAAGGGCCTAACATTTTGGCACTAGATGACTAAATGGACTTCTGTGTATAATTTGCACGAGACAGTTGCATCGGCTTTTAGACGCTCCCGTGTATAAAGCTGCAATGAATCACACGAGAGAATTCATCAAGGTATATCCTAATAATCTCAACTAAACACACTGTAGATCCATGTATTTCATTTCATTCATAGAGTTCAATTTACAATGTCTGAATTTGTACTTCATCAATTTCACTAGGAATTTCAGCTGAAAAGAACTGCTCTGCTTTATCAACAAAGCTGTTAGGAAATCTACAGTGCAACATTAAAGATGAAGCCCCTGGAAGGTATAAATTTTGCTTAGGAGCCACTTCTTCATTATTCTTAGTCGACTTGCTATCCTTCTGGCTTCTCATCTTGCTAGTTTTGATGCCATTTCCCAGAGCAAAGCTCTTTCCCAAAGAGTTTCGAGTGCCTTTGCCATTAGTGCGGCTGTATTTTATTGGAACATCCCCGTGAGGCTTTCTAAACTCAGAACCCACTTGATTTTGTTCATTAGATTCATCTGCTGGGGAACTATCCGAGGTTGAATTAGATAGAGAGGCAGATGAAGCATTTTTGCAAGATCTAAGCAAGGAAAGTAACATATCAACATTCAGTTCTTGTTGAACTACAAACTTGTTCTGCTTACACCCATAGCATGCAGCAATCAGTGTGGCGGCCAAAAATGGCATCAACTCAGGGTCGCTGAAGAAAACGAATGGCAGATCGCATACCTGTCTTATTCCAACTCAACATTAGTTTATATGAATAAAATTGAGAAAATGAATCAAACCTTTTTAAATATTCACAGACCTTATGAAGGATGGTGGGACTTTTTCCCCATCGGAGGACAGCCTGATTGCTAGGATGGAACAAAGCAAAATGACCAAGAAGTGACAGAGATTCAAGCATAACGATTCCAACCTGAGATACAACAGTGTAAAGCATTAAAGAGTGGCCGTATATTTTCCTACGAAGAACTTTTGTTAATGCATAACATGAAAGAGAACGACTATTTTCCAACAACCTCAGTAGGTGATAAAAACGCCACCTCAACTTTTTCCATAGGACTTTGTTTTGGGGAAGGACAGAATGCATGGGTATGAGATCTTGAACAAATTAGAAAAATCCACCCATGCTGGAAAGACCCAACAATACTAAGTGGGTGGATTTCATATTAGAAGATCTTGACTTTCATTTTTGAATATGTCTCCAAGTTTCATCCATCCAAAGCTTTAAAGGAAAAAGGGTCCCATTTGTTTTTCGGCAACATCACCAATAACATATTTGGGTACTGGCTGTTATTGAGAAAGCACTACAAAAAAGATAAAAATATATTATGCACCTGATCATTTGACGCTTTCCACTTGCTCGTGCAATGAGAAAGAAGAAAGCTCATCAGATGAAAAATTTCCATTTTCAAATCTGGCCTAGCCTGTAAGCAAAACAGGAGCAAGGAAAAGGAGAACGTGTCCATGAGTGAGCGGTGGCAACAGGGAAGGGGGCCAAGTAGAGATTATCTTTCAAATTCAATTATCATGCACCAACACCAAAGTAGAAGGTAAGAACCAAAAAGAACTTACTAGCATTTGTTGCAAAAATACAAGATCCAAAATAGCCACATTATTCAGCACCTTGAGTACTCCAGCTGCCACCTCCTCAAAATTAGATGGAAGAATAAATGATGCCTGCAAAAGAATGGCCATTAAACTTGTTCTTTTAGATACAACTTAAGAAAAATATGAAATTTTTGAGAATGTATCTGCTAAATTCTACTTGAAAATTAGCAATATCACTATCAAATCAATATGAAATGTAAAACCCACAACAAACCCCAGTATTTGTAATTTGTAAGTTATGAAACAGCATAGGTATAGCAAGCACAAACAGTTAGTGAATGCTCGCCTGTTCTTGCTAGGATAGCAAAATGTTTGATCTTTGAGATCAGAAAACACTCCTAGTAAATCAAAAACCCAAATAAATTGGTTGTTGAAGGCCATCGTATACAGATGCATGCCACCAAGTGGCATCCTCATTCATACTAGACTACTTTGCTACATAATATAGGAGATACTCAATGAAAGAGAAATTACAAGGACAAGCTTAGAAGACAAGCAATAAGAGAAATATCATCTTCATCATCTATTAAAAAAAATTGTATATGTTGTGATTTGTGGAAGACTTACTTGTTCAGAGGATGACCTATTGTTCGCCTGTAGTAATACAGCAGTCAGAAGAGAGAGAAGACTGACAAGTCCTGTCTCAGAAAGAGCCGAAAGAAGAAATGCCACAGGTTGATCCAAGATTGGTTCTTTTTCATTTTTATGAGTTGCACCAACAACCATGTTTTTTCATCCTTCTGAGAAACACAAGAATTAATAGCATCCCCTCTTTGATTGTTCTTAGCTTCATCTGGAACACTCATCAACTCCACATCCGTATTCTTTAATAGAAGAGAACCATCAATCTGCCTCAATTCATGACCCTTGTCAATTGCAAGAGATTCATCACTGACATTAACCTTACATGATTCATCCAACGGTCTATCCTCCGGGACATCAGGTAAATGCATGACTGAGCTACCATTAATTACAGACAAGGGAGATCTATAATCTCCCCAAGAATTACTTGCCACAGAATGAATAGAATCGGTAACCTCAGATCCTTCAATTTCAATTTTCTGCTCTTCCACCATGGGAAAAGAATTCCAGTCAATAGAGCTTATTGTTCCATGGCTAGAAGTCAAAGACACCAAAAGGCGTATGCTTAAAAGGATAGGAGGAGGAAATGATGATCCTTCCATTTGAGGCCTATCATGAAGTGCAAAAAGATCTCTTAATCGATGAATAACTTGGTAGGAAATAAGTAACTCCAGCAAGCCATCCCTCATTTGAAGTTGTCTTTCTTCAGAACTTATATGACCAAAAATTGTGGTAACAGTCCACAAAAAATTATTTAATATTTCAGAGATTAGCTCAAAATTCTCAACCGATACTTTATTTGAACTTGGATTACCAGGAATATTTATGGATGCTGCAATCTTTATATAGTTCTCAAGAGCCGCTGATAACATTGGGATGATTGGTGGTAAGAAATTTTGTGCAAGGAAATAACTCCTATTTGCATGTACAGATAGTACGACTCTCAGAAGTTTTGAAAGATGCAACGTAACTTGACATGCTTCAGGCTTTGAAGTGTGAGAAGCAGGCAAGGCAGAAGCAATAAAATCTAAAAGTCCAACTTGACGAGATGCCTGTAGCTCTGGATCCTTTCCCTCCAAATACTTAGTTCACCAAAGAAAGACATAAGCACAAATTAGAAAGTTATCTAAATCGACATAATATGAACATTTTTTCATTTCCCCTAAAAAGGGAAAAATTACAATATACAGGTCTCTGAGACACTTAAAACATAAATGGTGTCCAGAGAAAGAGGAGCTCAATTAAACATATAGTTAGAATATAAAATGCTTGAATAATTGTCCATACCAGTCAATGATGTAGAATAATTGGTTAAAGAAAAGCAGAGACCACATGCGAGCACTAACATGAATTGCAAGTTAAAATTAAGAAATAACTAGATACAATTTTTACTGTAAGCATACAAAGATCTAACCAAATAATGAAGAGACTGCCAAAATATGCTATTTTGATAAGCAAGCATGGTGTCCATGTTTCTCAGAGCATACAAAAAAATTGTTGTCGACAGAATTTCATCATGGTTCAAAGCTCTAGAAAATAACGTAACTCTTTGGACCCAAAGATAAATGTAAAAAGGCTGTCTTCTTTCTTTAAAAAAATTACCTTAATCATTTCAGCGACTATTAGCCCTATACTCGTGGCCCCTTCTTTTCTTGCTTGCCGAAGTCTTTGAAGTTCTTGAAGCCACCTACCAACTTTTGCCTTAGCAGCACCCACCGCAACTCTATATCCAATGCCAGCACTTTCAACTCCAAGAGAAGGCTCAAGAAATTCATGTTTCAAAGACATAAGTCTTTGTCTAATTTTCTTAATTCTTCGCTTCATTGAGTGTTGCAATGTGATGTTGCCAATTCCAAGAGAAGAACCTCCTATGCTAGAAGCAATGTTTGTTTGAGGATCATCTCCACTATTTGTTGGTGCAGATCTGCTTTGCCCTGACCGACGTAGCAAAGGGGACGATTGATCCCTAAAATCCATGGAAGCTCTCTCTCGAATTTGCTCCAAGTAAACCTTACGACGTTGTTCACTTTCGCTGAGTCTCTCTGCCAGCTTTTGGGCTAAAAGTTCAGCTTCCTCTTGTTGGGCTTTGGCTCTTTCTTCCTTTCTTCGAAGCTGCTCAATAGCTCTTGCTTCACGTGCTGCACTTGATGCTTTTCTTTCCTCTTCCCTTCTAACTTGAGCCTCCTCCTTTCTACGCTGTATTTCTGCAAGACGCTGTAACTTTTCAGCCTCAATGAGTTTTCGGCGTTCTAGAACAGCTTCTTCCCTTGCCAAATCCTCCTTTTGCTTAGATTTTATTACTTGCAGCTTTTCAGCTCTTCTCAACTCAGACCCATGAAGCTTTTGACGCAATATTAGCTTCTTATTCTCTTCATTTAAGGAAGTAATGAACCGAACCTCATTTACCTTGCTACTTTCATCACCAGCTCTCTTCACAACTTGAGCTAGATAAGCTTCATGACGAGATTCACTACGTTGATGACGTGCATACAAGCCCTCTCGTAACTTCATATTGCGAACAGCCTGCCATTCATTGACACGACTTAATTTTTCTGATGTACGTTGAAGCTTTTGTACTCTCTCATTCTCTAAGTCATTTCTGATTCTCATGGCACGAGCATGCTTTTCTTCTGCCTCCTTTCTCAAGTCTGAAGTGGTCTTCTTCTTTTTGTCAGGAGACATTAATTTATCATGCAAGATACGTACCCGCTCAGCACTTTTCCTGTTTAAACCTGGTGAGTAAGACACACGAGAAGAGACACGGAATGGAGATGAGAGAATATCCTCCCAATTCCGTTTTTCCTTCCAAGCATTCATGGACCTTCCCATAGCTACATGTCTCTTTTCCTTATCTTTCTCAGGTATAGGTATTTGCCTCCGGACATCATCTACTGATCTAGAACTTTTATCAGTAATACCTTCCATTGGCACTTTATCTTTCTTTAGCTTCTCAGCTTCAAATTCAACATGTTCTCTTTTACCCTTCGTGGTTGCAAGAGCAGCCAAATTTTCCCTAGGAAGTGAATTAGATAAATTAACTTCTGAGGATAATGAGCTCTTTGGTTGGCTACTTTGTCCATTTTGTTCTAAGATTGCTTTGCAAGACTTTCCCGATTCAATATTATGCTTTCCTCCATTGAGATAAACTTGATTAGCATCTAATGATCCGACCTGCTTTCTTGGCCTTGTCACTGCATCAGTGTGATTGCCAACAAATTCAGGAGTTGGACATTTAGACATGGCATTCTCTGCACTATTTACTCCTTGCAAATTAGCACGCTCTTGTTGAATCTTTCTAAAAGCCTCAAGAGATGAAGACAGTATATCAGCCTTATGAGGTGATGATGTCATCCTTCGAACCTACAATCAAGACAAGACAGACAAGAAACTTAGAATTAGCAGCCAAGTGATCCAGGTCTGTCACAGGCATGTTATCATGTGTGAAACCAAAGGACTGACCACACAAAAACAGAAACCAACCAAGAAAATAGGCAAAGAAAGACATCAGTTATTGCATAATCATATGCCATCTTTATATGTTTTCCCCATAGTCAAGGAAGTTAACTACAACTAGTGATAATCAGTCTAAACTTTAACCGTAGCATCCATTGATGCTATGATCCAGGTGATATGGAATTCTCGTGCCCAAGTAATACTAGAAATTTAAAATCCAATTGTGAGAGGTTGTCCCTTTGTGCTAGACTAAAATATTTTACATTGTCTGTCCCAAAAAAATGTTTTACATTAGATTGATCTGATCTCAACAGCTCTATGCATGCCATATGTGGAAGGAGGATTCCAACGCATATTCACATATCCCTAACTGTATACATATGTAGCACTGCACATTGTTAAATACTTAAAAGGTAGACTATATATTCATCTGAGGCAATTTTATGACTTCCTAGAATCTACTATATGCCCTCTACATATTCAAAATATCGCGAGCTTCTTCATCAAACTATACCACAATACAATAAGAGAAAGAGAAAAGAGGAAAATGAAAAATAGATTCTGACAAATTCTACATTATTGACCAAATTTTATCCCTTGCATTGACGCACATGGATAAACACACTCACTTTCAATGATAAGTAAATAATTTTTAGAATAGACTTGTCAAAGGATTTGAGAATATTTAAGAATAAAATTATGTTTATCATGATAAGGAGCAAAACAAAGATTATGTTTTCAGTTTATATTTTTTTGAAATTTTATAATATCCAAATTTCCTAAATACATCAACTATAACTTGTTAAAGATTAACAACAGTATTTTAGCACCTCAAAATATCAACCTGAGCAATAGAAGGCAACAGACTAATACAACCAAGCGCACCTCCCATGAGAGAGCATGTGTCCTGCGATGGTCACTCTTCAAGATGACAGGAACTCCATCAATTATTTGAGAAGACTTTTTAACCTTCTCGAATTCCTCAACTCTATTGATTAGTTCTTTGAAATCAGATGCAGCCTCCTCAAGAACAAGAATTGCCTCTTTCATTTGCTCCAAATCACATTCCAGCTCACAAAGAAGATACAGCTCATCAACAGACCTATTAAGATTTTCGAATAAAAAGCACCAAAGCCTTTGCCTAAACCGTTCTTTGCTTTCATTTGAGTCACCTTCTTCAAGCGCACTCATATTATGAGAGCTTGACAAAATGCCATCCACATTAATATTCTGTGTGCCCCTAACATCTTCCACAGAAGTTGCAGAATCTCCTACAATATCAGGTCCACATTCAGGCACATGTGGTTTACTCTGGTCAGTAACTGCACTAACTGAATTGCAGTTTGTTCGGGGCACTTCAAAAATTCCAACATCGTTGCCTGTGTGATTATCAGTTACTGTTTTGGTGCTAGCATCACCTTCACTCTTGGAGTTCAACATATCATCTGCTTGGTTGATTTCTTCCCCATTCAATGGTGGAATTTCTTCCAAAGATGTATCCTTAACTTGTACACCATTCTCTACAGAAATCTCATGCTTGCTTTCTGATGAAGGAATCCGATTAGAAGCCATGTCTGAATCAACAATCTTGGCCACAGGAACATTATCTTTGGCATGAGGTGAATCAGAAAGGGCTGTGTCTAAAACACTGTCAGTCTTTCTACAGTTAAGCATGTTATCGTCTCCAATAGTACCAAACTTAATTCCAGCTCCACTCAAGTTTTCATGAGGCAGTGGAAAGCTCTCATCCTCAAGATCACCCCACTTAATTTTGTGGACTACCTCAGGCTTATTGTTTAGGGGTATTTTCTCAAGAACTTCGTGTCCACCTCTAGAATCATCATCAATATGTGACTTCTGAATCTGATTGTCATGTTTAATCACATTTGTATTAAGGTGACATGTGCCCTCTTCCTCCTTTGACTCGGACATAGAACTAGCAACACTGCCAGAGTTATGTACAAAATTCTCCTCCATCCTTGGAAGATGGGATCGCAAAATGGCATGTGAATCTCTGTCATTTTTATCTATGGAACGCTGACTGCGCAAAGAATTAGAAGCTCTTTTCCCTGAAAGTCCTCCAACAGAGCTCTGCAAAGAGGATTTTGAAGTATTCCGGTGTTTCTGGATAAGAAGGCAAGAAAATGGGGAGAAATTCAGTAACACTAGCGTTACAAGCTAAATCATGAAGGTCCAAATTTGAAATCGAACTCTAATAACAAAGATAAAGACAGTGCAAACCAATATTGGATGCGGATAAAAAAGAATGCATATAATAACCTCTGAACGGTAGGAAATAGAACAATGAAACAGACCCTTGAGTTATTCTAGCACTGGTATAGCCATGCCGCCTAGAACAAGCATCTCTTAACATAAACGGGGCATAAAAAGAAGCCTAGAACAAGCATCTCTTAACATAAACGGGGCATAAAAAGAAACTATATGATTAATTAACCCAAGCTTCGAACCGATATATACTAAGCTTAAACTCTTTATTTTATATGTATATCTATTCGCTTGCCTTCAAGTTCTTACTCATACATGAACCAAAAATAAAAAATATATATAAAAAAAAAGCGACAACGTGAAAATACATAAGAAACCAGTTAAAAAAATTAAAATTTGCATGATAGAATATTTCAACAGCAGGTCTGGATCACCTTTTTCACTTCTAGCCATCCTGAGTTCTGATCATCCACTGCTTCACTTTCCATCCCAAGTAATCAAGACGGTAAGAAACTCATAGGAGGGACTACATTCATCAAAATTCCAGTTAACAAGAATGTGTTGGATAATTTGCCCACTTTAGTGAGTGATGCTGGGGGAGATTGATCTAACTGAATTGAGAATATGCTTCAAAGCCAAATTAAAATATTGTATCTCTATTCAAAACCGATAAAACACGATTCTTGGTAAATGAGAACCCGTCCTTGAAATAAGAAGCTCCAATATATGCAATGATTGGAAATTGAGAGTGGGTATGTTGAACAATCGGCGAAAGGAAGTGACAATAATGAAGTCTCAGGCAATGAAAACGGGATTATTCTTGTTAGGGTTTTGGAGATGACAGTAAAAGCAGAGAAGGCTAGTTCTTGCTACGTGAAAGTGAAACTGCAGCCAAACTAGAGTTGTGTCTCTCTCCGCGCCTCAGTCCCCACCCGATAATAAAATAAAAATAAAAATAAAAATGCTAATAAATTCAGAAAATAGGCTCATCTAATAAAATGTCCATCAAACTTCCTTAATGATATGCAATTTACGTCTCGCCCCATTGGAAAGAAAGCTGAGGAACGGAGGATGATGAGGTGGAACCAGCAAAATTAAAAAAAGGAAACGAGTATTGAGAAGGGGAAAAAAAAAAACATCCTGCTATTTTTCCAATGACAGTATTGCGTTAGTGACTCAACTCAATCACAGTAGATGCATGCATGACTCTTCATCTTTGTCCCTCTTCATCAAAATGAAGAAATCTTGCTTATTATGTGATACACCTAAACATAAACCTATCAGATTCATTGTAGTCATGGACAGGAAAAAATAAATAAATTAGTTAAATTAATTAATCCTATTTGTACAATAAAATTGTGTTGATTTTTTCAAAATGAATTTTTTAATTATGTGCACTGAAAAAATCCTCAATAAACTAAAATAAAGAATTAACTTTTATAGATAACTAATAAGTGAATATCAAAAAAATTATTTAAGTTAATTATTTGTAATAGATTCAACCTCCTGTCCTTGATATAAGAGCTGATTGATTAATTTGAGTAAATTAAGAAAATAAGTTAAGTTAGTTATTATGTGTTATCTTTCTTAAAATATCCATGCCAATCAAATGTATTGGCTAGAACTACCATTATTAGAAAGATTAATTTGGAAAAAAAGTATAAATATGAAAGACAAAGTAAATTGGGATTTTATAATTAAGATCAAAATAAAAGTCAAACGAAATTTAAGGACCGAAGGTAGTAATAAATATGTCCTCTCTTTCCTTAAATACTCTTATTAATTATATGTATTGAAACTATCATGTGATGAAAACTTTTTTACATATGTAATTACTATAAAAATTACTCTAAAAAAAAGTAAATAAATATGAGAGACAAATTGAATAAAAAATTTATATTTAAGATTAAATTAAATCTCTAACTAATTTTTATATTAAAAATAAAAAGTAGTAGTTAGAATTGAAAGGAGTATAATCAACCATATATGATCTAAATAGAATCAACTTGTGTAGCCCAAAAGGGGATCCATTTCGTTTCTATGTCAGTTGTTAGAGGTGGCTGATCACCAAATTCATGTCGTCGTACGGCATTTATTCATCACAGGATTATCAGATTTTAAAGCAACATGTGATCGACATACTTGTAATTGGACCATACTTGTAATCCTCGTTTCTCCTACCTGCAGTATTGTTTTGTTTGTCTCATAATTTAATGAAAAGTTGTGTTTACACGCAACCAGTTCACTGTTGCATAAATCCTCACGGGAGGCCATTGTTTCTGCCTTTTTTTTTTCCCCCTAAAAAACATCGATGAATTTTTTAATAAATTTTTTAGTAGTATAAGTGTTCACACCAATCACATAAGGGAGATGCCAAAAACAATTCTGGTGTTTTCTAGGAGAAAAAGTTGAACCAGGTTCTTTGCTCTTATTCTATCTGAGATTTGAAAGTGAAAAGAGAAGTGTGTGTTAATTGACTTCCACAGAAAAATTGAATATAATTGTTGCAGAAAAGAATAACTTTTTCCACATTTTTTTTATTTGATGGATTCTCTTAAGAACGAGCCGGGAAGGAATATGCTCTTTCTTTTCAAATGATGTTTAGTCTTGTATTTTTTTTTTCTTTTATCTGTCACGTCAAAAAAAATCAGAGAATTCGTTTTCTTTTCACTATCCCAATATTATACATCTCCCTCTTCCCAATTAATTTCGTGAATTTAATTAATAAACTAAAAAGATTTTGATTCATATAACATTATATTACTAAAATTAATCTATCCGTTAGTTGGAAAAAGAAAGGGTGGCCAAGAGGAAAAAAGTTGTTAAAAGAGGGGGGGGGAAAAATTCCATTGTCAAAACCTGTGGATTGCCTTGCCTGGTTTGTCAATGGCGAATCTTTGAAGGCATAACTTTTTTTTTTTGGGGCCACACCTTGAACAAATAAATCTAGCTGTTGGCAGAAAAATCAATTAATTTTTTCTCAATAATGATGAAATTTTTGGAATAAAGAAAATTCTACGAAGAACAAAAAACAAGTGGATCAGAATCGAATTTATTTTTGACTCTATATGGTTAATTTATCAAACAAATACAGACAAGAAAGAGTCAAATTTCACTGTTCATGAGTTTTGAAATCCCCGTGACGCCCACGCTCAATATTTCTATGGAAATTTCCTCCCAAAGACAATGGTCCACATTGGTATCATTTTTCCATATCCAACGTCCCTCGTAATCAATATAGGCCTACGTCATAAGGGTTGGAATACTAAATTTGAAAGAACAACTACGCTCATAAAGTTGTGTTTTTCTAATATTAGTTTTAATATTTCTTATGCTAGCTAATTAAATTACAAAATTAAAAAAATTAATTAAATTAGCTATTTATAAAAAATATATGTTAATTTTTCGAAAATATCCTAATTATTTGCAAACCATTTTTTAATATGTATAATTAGCAAGAATAATTTGAAAAAAAATTATTTCTTAATATAAGAGTTAGTTAGACCGTACAATCTGACTTGAATATAATATTTTGATTTATTTTATTTTTTATATTTATAAATTTTTTAAAATTAATTTATCTAATTTATAAATTAATATATAACGCAATGTTATAAATTAATTTACATTTTAATTTTCATATATGTCCCCTCGCACGCCCCACTTTTAATTTTTAACGTGTAAAATTTCACGCTCAAAGTGATCCGATTAATTTACAACTTGCGGGTGATGAGACTGTATTTGGTCAAGTGGTGGGTCTTCAAATTGATCTTAAGAGTCAATTGTGGACAATCATACCCAAACCATTTCCTGGAATCCAAAGCAAAGCAGATACGGAACAAGGTTCTGGTGGGAGGAGGAGAAGGAAGGTTTTCTTATTTAGGCTACCTTCTACCCGAAGGCAAGAGACATCCTGCAACAATAATAACAATAAATCTGTTGTTTTCGAGTCTAATCAAATTTTCTTACTGTTTATTTTCTTTTCGTGCCTCAATCTACACGTACCTTCTATCTTTCACAGAACAGAATTGGCAGTTCAATTTTGCCTCTTTCATTACCTAAAAGTGATACTTACTTTCCCACCAACTCAGTTGATGGAATAGAAGCGACGTCTAATAATTGGAAGCTCGCTTGTGAGTTGTTATCCATCATCATTTCATGACAAACAAAACCAAATCAACCATCCGTTAAGTTTAGCATTAGCTTGTATGCTTGCGCCGACACATCTGAGACAGGTTTATCCACCCCGCTTCACCTATCTCACACCTAACAGGGAAATGTGGTCCTTCTTCGTTATCTCTGGCGCCTTTGAAACGTCAGAGTGATAAAAGCTTCGTTGTTTAGCAGTAAAAGCACCGAGCGTGTCGGCATGTTATGCAAGGAAGCATCCTCCGACTTATGCTTTAGTGTTGTCGTTAATGGTGGTGGATTGAGATAAGGCTGGTGTTGGATTATCCTTCCTGGGTAAGTGTTGTATTTTAGGAATTACATCCGGGTGTTCTTCTAGTTTGGTAATTTCTTTGTTTTGTAGTCTGCTTTCGATTCATGTCTTCTGGGTCCATATTCTTTTTTATTACTTATTTGCGGAGGCTTTCTATTCATCCTTTTTACTTCGGCTGTTGTCTGGAGATGTGGTTTGAATCTTATGATTGATAGCTCTGGGTTTCGCATACATAAATGACGCCTGGTGAGAAGCTAGTTCATCTTATTCGTTGAGTTTTGTGATTCAAACTTTGAGTTCTTAGATCTGGTATTGCAGTTGTCAATCTACTTGTTTTAGCTAAGACTTGACGTAGTCCGTTTATCTTATAGTTATCCGTTAAAACAAGTGGATTCATCGTCATTTTGCAATTATTGGGTCTCTTGTTTTTTCTTCCTGGCAAAGTTGCGTTAGAAATCAGAACTGAATTCTCTGTGGAGACTAAATCTGTAATTATTTTTGACGGAAAAGAAATTTCGAAAGGCATAGTTTAAATATCCTAGTTCTGATTACCACTTTGAATCCAACGTTACCGTTGTTATAATTCCAAATCTGTGACGATTATTGATTAAGATCAATTTATGTAACCCAGATATTATACCGTCGTCCGCCCTGTAACATTTCTCCTTCTTTTTTTTTTTTTTAAATTAAAAACAAGCATAGTTTTTCTACTTAAAAAAAAAAAAAAGAGCAAGCATAGTTTTGGATTTTGTTGTCAACAGAGAGGAGTGTCAATCATGTCAAGGATGCATCATGTACACCAGTTTTGTTAAATTTGGTAATCACGTTTTACCTTTTGCTAAAGCTAGCTTCCGAAGCTACATCGATTTAACATGCTGACTTCGGCAATTATGAGCTTGATTTCTTATTTCCAACTTTATGAAATGAAAAAGGGCAATTCTGTGGCTTCAGAAAACCTGCCTGTAACTGAAATTTCGTCTTTGTAACTGCAGTTAGATAAGTAGAATTCGATGCTCTTGTAAGTCGCACCTTATCCAACAATGGGATTCCACATTGCCTTATTTCTCTTCTTGGCTTTTCTTCCACCGTCTTCAAGTCAAGAAGTTATACATGCTTCAATTCTAGTTAATGGAAATCAAGCAAAAGCTGAAACTGATGATAACTTCATTTGTGCCACGATTGATTGGTGGCCTCATGACAAATGTGACTACGACCATTGCCCATGGGGATACTCATCAGTCACTAATTTGGTGAGTATTTTGAAACTTATTTGTATCGAAGTCAAATGAAGAGAGCAGCGGCAAATTTGAATTAACTATTATGAAATGCAAGCCGGAGAAGTAATCTTAGTCGTGTTGAATATATTGTTTTTCAGGACTTGTCTCGCCCTTTCCTCGCCAAGGCAGTACGGGGTATGTGAGCAACAGTTTATTTCATTTGGTTTAATGACACCCAAGTGTGTTGTAGAT